AGCAACCACTAACCAAGCCCTAAACAAGTTTTAAAAAAAAAGTACATCAAAAGAAAATCCCATAAAACGGAATCCCATGAAGCATTCAATTCAAATGAGAGAAGCAAAATGGGTGGGGAAGGGGACAAAGGACAAATTCAAGGAAGTGACACTTACAAATTGAGACTGTAGAATTTCAACAAACCAGATCATATTTTTTGCATCTATAATAGTTCCTTATTTTTTTTTTTAACGTTTATTCATTTTTGAGACAGAGAGAGAGCATAAATGGGGGAAGGTCAGAGAGAGAGGGAGACACAGAATCTGAAACAGGCTCCAGGCTCTGAGCTGTCAGCACAGAGCGCGACGCAGGGCTCGAACTCATGGATCGCCAGATCATGTCCTGAGCCGAAGTCGGACGCCGAGCCGAAGTCGGACGCCCAACCGACTGAGCCACCCAGGCGCCCCTATAATAGCTCCTTATTATTGAAATTTTAGTTAGCTAACATACAGTTCAATATTGATTTCAGGAGTAGAATCCAGTGATTCTTCACTTACATGTAACCCAGCGCTCATCACAAGTGCCCTACTTAGTATCCATCACCCATCTAGCCCATCCCCCACCCACCTCCCTCCATCAACCCTCAGTTTGTTCTCTATCCTTAAAGAGTCTCTTGTGGTTTCCCTCTCTTCTCTTTCCCCCTCCCATACATTCATCTGTTTCAAGTTCAACCTAAGTGAAATCATATGGTATTTGTCTTTCTCTGACCTATTTCGCTTAGCATAATACATTCTAGCTCCATCCACGTCACTGAAAATTGGCAAGATTTTGTTAATTTTTGAGAGGGAGAGGGAGGCATGTAAGGAGAGGGAGGGAGAGGGGAAGAGAGAAAGAGAGAGCACATAAGTGAACGCACACAAGCTGGGGAGGGGCAGAGAGAGGGAGACACAGAATCTGAAGCAGGCTCCAGGCTCTGAGCTGTCAGTGCAGAGCCAAAGGCAGGGCTAGAACTCATGAACTGAGTTCATGACCTAAGCTGAAGTTGGACACTCAAATAACTGAGCCAGCCAGGTGCCCCAAGATTTCATTCTTTTTGATGGCTGAATAATATTTCATTGCATGTGTTCATGCGTGCGTATGTCTACATCTTCTTTATCCATTCATCAGTCAATGGACATTTGGGCTCTCTCCATAGTTTAGCTCAGCTATTGCGGATAATGCTACTATAAACATTGGGGTGCATGTACCCCTTCGAATCTGTATTTTTGTGTCCTTTGGGTAAATACCTATCAGTGCTGGATCGTAGGGTAGATCTGTTTTTAACTTTTTAAGAAACCTCATATCGTTCTCCAGAGTGGCTGTACCACTTTGCATTCCCACAAACAATGCAAAATGCCCCCCCCCCCCTTTCTCCACATTCTTGCCAACACCTGATGTTTCCTGTGCTGTTAATTTTAGCCATTCTGACAGGGGTGAGGTGGTACTCCATCATGGGTTTGATTTCTATTTCCCTGATGAGTGATGATGAGCATCTTTTCATCTGTCTTTAGGCAATCTGGATGTCTTCTTTGTAAAAGTGTCTGTTCATGTCTTCTGTCCATTTCTTCTTAACTGGGTTGTTTTTTGGGTCCTCAGTTTAACAAGTTCTTTATAGATTTTGGACACTAACCCTCTATCAGATGTGTCATTTGCAAGTATCTTCACCCATTCTGTAGACTGCCTTTTAGTGGTGTATTGTTTCCTTCGCTGTACAGAAGCTTTTTATCTTGATGAAGTCCCAATAATTCACGTTTGCCTTTGTTTCCCTCGCCTTCGGTGACAGGTCTAGTAAGAAGCTGCTGCAGCTGAGATCAAAGAGGATGCTGCCTATGTTCTCCTTTAGGATTTTATGGTTTCCTGTCTCATATTTAGGTCTTTCATCCATTTTGAATTTATTTTTGTGCATAATGTAAGCAAGTGGTCCAGTTTCACTCTTCTGAATGTCGTTGTCCCCTTGCAATTGTACTAACAACAGGATACCTAGGAATAAACTAACCAAAGAGGTCAAAGACCTGTACCCTGAAAACTAAAACACCTATGAAAGAAACTGAAGAGGATACAAAGAAATGGAAGGGCATTCCATGCTCATGAACTATCTATACTACCCAAAGCAACCTACACATTTAATGCAATTCCTATCAAAATACCAACAGCATTTTTCACAGAGCTAGAACAAGCCTAAAATTTGTACGAGACCACAGAAGACCTCGAATGACCAAAGCAATCCTGAAAAAGAAAAAAAGTGGATTTCATGCTATATTACAAAATTGTAGTCATCAAGACAGTACGGTACTGGCACAAAAATAGACCTATAGATCAAAGGAACAGAATGGAAAACAAACTATATCACTTGAAACATGAACAGTCTAAACACATCCATTGAAAGACAATGTCTGACTGGATTAAAAGAGAAAAAGCCAAGAGGCAATTTTATGCTGTCTACAAAAAAACCCCACTTTAAGCATAAGGAATCAGATTGGCTAGCAGTAAACAGAGAAAGACACCAGGCTAACTCTAATCAAAAGAAAGCTGGAGTAGTCATATTAGTTTAAGACAAAGCAGACTTCAAAATAAGAAAATTATCAGAAATAGAGGGATTTTTATATAATTATAAAGGAATTACTTACATAAAAAGATACAACACTGTTATCATTTAAAAAAATAAACTGATAGGTTCACAGAAATTTTATGACTCTCTAACACCAGTATAAATTCCAATGCATTTGTAATAATTCATTTTAGAGGTCTATCTGCTCTATGAGATATTAGACTTCAACATATGGAGATACGGAGAATACTTTCTTTTGCTCAGCTTGGTTTCTCCCACACCTAACTCAATAAATATCTACCAAATATGTGATTATGGATTTCATTAAGTCACGCTCATCAATTTAACTGTACAAGTGGGCTACTGTTTCATTAAAAATACAAAGATCTTTTAAAACAGATTTTGGTCTTACGGTCATCCTCCACTATTATCAAATAACCATCCGGTTTGATAACAGTGAAAAACAATTATGAATGCATAAATTGTTCATAGTTAAGATGCTACATTGCTTTACTATTAACTGTCAATTTATTCATTTGAACTGATCCACAAGTTCGTAATGCAAATGATACACACAGAACACAGAAACTGAGATTTGTGAAAAGATGAAAAACGTGAATGTATGATTATAGCAGTACAACTCTTCATGAATGCATGAATTATAAAATGCTGAATTTTGTCAATGTGAATTGTATTTTAAAGCATAGTTAAATAATTTATACCACTAAAACAAGCAAACAAAATGCACATATGGGACTGAGAGGGAAGATGGCGGCGTAGGAGGACGCTGGGCTCACCGCGCGTCCTGCTGATCACTTAGATTCCACCTACACCTGCCTAAATAACCCAGAAAACCGCCAGAGGATTAGCAGAACGGAGTCGCCGGAGCCAAGCGCAGACGAGAGGCCCACGGAAGAGGGTAGGAAGGGTGGCGATGCGGTGCGCGCTCCACGGACTGGCG